TTCGACGTAGAGCTTTGTTGGAATAATGGACGCTTTAGAATGTATAAAAAGCGGTAAAAAGTATTTATAAACAGTGTCAAACAATTTAACTGAGGGCTTTCACTGCCATCTTTTTCTGTACTGTCCATACAGGGCCATAATCAGCAAATAAAAGATCTTTAAATCCACCGGATACTAGATAAACTGCAACGAGGAAATTCATTTTTAAAAATCAACTACCTGCATAATGGTTGAGATTAAAGAAGCATTTTATATTTGTAATTTTAAGTCTTGAAATATATTCTACATCATACGGAGCTTATGCCTGGTCTTTGGGTGATATATTCATTCGTTTATACATGTATGACTCTGTTTCCTGAGAAACAAGTCGCCAAATTCTTGTGCCCAAGAAATAAATGAATAGATATAAATATATCTGGCCCAGCAATATGGGATCACAAAGGTGTGTAGTTTTTTTAAGTAACAGAGACCATAATATATAGCATACACACGCGACCAAAGAGATGTATCCCTGCCGGCAAAGTTCTTTGACTTTTCCACCAATAACTCATTCACCAGTTCAGCTGAGCTCACCACAATGGAGTTATGTCCAAAACCTGCGGATAATCCATCAAATATCCAATGCTGAAATCGTTTACTATATTAATTATGTCCTTAATTGACACCCTTTATGTCTTATTCATTCCCAGATAACTGCTGCGGAAAGCCCAGATTTTAGTAAACTAGTGTGACAGGAATTGTAGTCCTAGGAATCGAAGGCCAGGGTCCAATATGGTCATTATCGGTTAGGGTCATAGTCGGAGAATTGGGGTTGGTATATGGGACGAATGTCACCTGTACGAGGTAATGGAAAATGGAGTACGGTTCCTACAGGTAACGGACTACCATTCCTGTCATACCGGGTCACAAGAGTAGCAACTATTACCTTACGTCGTGTGTTCACAGACAAGTGTTGTGTTTCTTTGACAGTGTAGTTTCGCAACAATTGTTGTTATGCAATTTGGTTTAAAGTAAGACTTAACTATATTTACTGTGAATATTTCTCCATATTTCTTTTCCATTTCTGCAAAAACCGTGAACAGTCTTGCATCATTCGAAAAGGCTGAAATGAAATAACTTGTCCAATACATATCATTTTGCTAATGTGTTTATCATTTACGTTGATTTGTGACCATTATATGCAAAAGAATATGCGCACACACACACACACACACACACTATTGTACAATTGAAATGCAACATCACAAAGACATCAGTGGAACCACTGGATCACTGTGTGGGTGTAAGCGTGAAGCATTAATAACAATAAAGAAAAAAAAGTGTTTTAAAATCCATTTGGATCTCACCAAAATAATTCCCCAATATCGGTAGCTGTGGAGGACCTGGTCTGTATCTTTTCCGTCGTAGATATGCCATCACCAACAGGAATACACATGTACCGATCAATGCCGTCTGCACATTAGGCCAAACACATACCTTTATAACGTCCATGTTTGCTAAAATACAAAAATGCCTTTATCCGCATGCATAATGACCTGATTTTAAAACCACTGACAGTGTAAACTTAAAGGGGTTGCTTGTGTTTATTTACATCTGTACAGTAAACTACATGTATACTAAGATATGTATGAAATATAACTAAAGTTGTCAGTAAACTTTCTCTTTCAATTAATATTGTTTATCAAAATATTGTGTTTTGAGAAAAAATTATTTCGGCTCATGGGATTAAATGGGTTAATGTAACATTTGATGCTATTTCTTCTTTTGATTTGTCCTTGTAAACATGTAATTCAAACCATATATCACGCGTTACCTGACCTGAAAAACAGGAGCGTCTGAATGTGTCTAGACAGCAAACAAGCTTTACGAAAGGCTTTATACTTATTTCCAACAGCACTGCATAATCTATATTAAAAGAATCACAATGTCCTGTTCAAAAATTTAATTTCACACGAGGAAACATACAAGGAATATCATTCATTCAGTCGCTGTTGATTCCACCCAAGATAATATACTATACCGATTTGCTTGGCGACATGCATTTGAGTACTGCAGACTATCCACAGATGTATCACACGGATTAAAAAAAAATAACACTACTATTATAAATCCTATAGGCCTATACTAATAACACTACTATTATAAATCCCTTTGAATACCTTTTTACTTTATCCTGAAGACAGAAATCCAGACACTGCATCAACGCTGCCTCTCCCTATATCCCAGAGCCATGGGACTATTGTGAATCAGCCAGTTGACACATGCACAAAGGTAACCTAAATAGCAGGCAACTTGCTCGTGATCGAGGTCAAGGATATCAACCGGGCACGTGTTAGCAGGTTATTCCCAGCAGTTGTAGTCCCAGCTTACATTTCCCAACGGTTATCTTGTGTTTTGAAAGCGTCCGCTCACTGGGTTGTTATATGTATTTTAATACTTTTATTGCTAAAATATACATTTTATTGTTCCGTTGAGAAGAGCGCCTGCTTGGCATAGATGTAGATTATCATTGTGGAGATAAAACTCTATCTGTCCCCATTAAATGAATGAATCAATACATAAATAAATCGCAGTCAAAATCAAACTACTTCTTAATGCGATTTTGACCTTTAACACTTAATGGTTAAGAAACACTGGATCTATTATTATCATGAACGATCACGATGAACACACTTTTGAAGCTTAAAACAGCATGCCAAACAGTTAAGTTGCCACTACCTCCATTGTGCGTATTTGCTCTTCTGCGTAAACGAATACACGAGAATAATGCTGCCGCCCCGCACGAAAATGCAGTAGTATCGAAGTAGCAAAAAAGCATTAACGCAGTAGTGGTGTGGAGCATATTTGCAGTAGAAATGCAGCATAGCCTACTGCAATTCTACTCCAAAAAGTACATAGGTTTGTACAGAGAGAAGCATTAATGCAGTAGATTAGCAGCATGATAGAAGCATGTTTCAAATATGCTAATTAGCTCCCACATCGAAGCAGATTTGAAGCATGTTTGCAGTATGATTGCAGTAGTCTACTGCGCTGGAGTATCTACTGCGTTTTCTTGCGGGGCTATTTCATTTTTGTAAACAAGAACAACATGAAAAAAAAACAAACAAACAAAGCAATGTAAAATACATAAAAATCCAATTTATATAAGCTGGAATCACCTTCACTTGATTATTCATACGATATGCGCATATCATAGATGGTCATCCGACCCTACCGGATGGCCTTGTGATCAGAGCCTCTGCCTCCGAAGCGGAAGTCTTCCCTCTTGACACTCAGAACTAGCTCAGAGGTTAAGAGTGAAATATTTGATAGTGCTGCATGATAGCAGTCGGATCTGGAGTTTCTTATGAAAGGAATTGAGCAATAAAGCCGTGGGTAGACCAAGGCCCCGTTACTCGATAGCAATGCGTATTGCGAATAGCGATATCACACAGAGGCTGCAGTGGGGCGAGTATGGGCGAGTTATGGAATCGAGATGCTTGAGCTCGGTCGCAATGCGCGAGGCTTTCGAGATACGGGGCCCAGATCAACTCATTAGTGTCATGTCCCACGTGCAGTATTGTGTTAGATGCGACTTTACTGTGCATGTCCACAACAGCAACCAACTGCATGTGCCTGTGACTGACGCTGCTAAAGGTAACCAAAATGTGTCAAGCGCAGTATGACAATGGTTTAATGTATAAACCACTGGGTATATAGTACGGCATAACAAACAGCTTGCTTTCACTGGCTCCAAATCGTCATTCTGGCGTTCGTTTTCAAGGGATATTCGAGGTCTATATCATTTAATATGTTATTTAATATAGCCATCTTGTATTTTAGCAACATGATGCAAAACTGTGCAGGGACTTTGAATTTTTTAAAGATATATGTGGTATGTTAGCTCATAAATGGGCTGGAATTTGGTACCGAAACTTTCATAAATGAATACATTAATTAACAAACCAATTAATCAATTAATTGACTTATTAATGCCAATTGGATCATTGATTAATACTCAATAGTCACGCGATATAAATTAATTGATAAGTTATTAATTTTTTTTAGAAAAATATTTATTAACCATTTTCACCACATTTTATGGCAATCAGAAAAATAAGTATTACATTCAGCTTTTTATTATAATTTTGGTTGCATTTTATGAAATTGTCCCTTTGTGGTTTTAATGCTTGTGTTTGGAATATAGCGTTGTTTTGTTGTTTGAATTATGTTTTACGAAGTAAGATACTATTCATTGCATCATTTATTTTTTTATTTTCATTTATTTCTGGAGATCAAAGAAATATGCTGGTAGCTGTGTACAGATCTATAATGAAATATAAATCTATTTATAATTACGAACGTTTCGCTATTTCACAAGAACATAAGTTTCCAAGGAATAGTAATGAAAAAAATGTTTCAACATAAACCGTTCTTTTTGACCAAAGCAATTGTATTGCAAATACGCACTGAGGATTTATCAAGCTAGTGCTGTGGCCATGATGATCCAAAATGGCGGATCGATATGGACTGGTTAAGGGGTCAATAAGCTTCAGTGTTGTGAAGAATTGGAAAATGTTAAACTTTTCCTAACGATTCCCTGATGAGTTAAAAGGGATAATTGACATTGCAACGTTCCGCCCTGATGATAAGTTGCTGTAGTATTCAATCTCATTCTCTGCCCCCCACCTTCCCCTACCGTATGTTTGTTATTATGAGGTAATAGAATATAGTTTCAATATTGTGTGAGAAATGAAAGGTTTAAACTCAATCGTTACCAATAGACAACGCCAATGGATTCCCATCAGAATATTTGAAGTGCGTGATACAGAAGGGGGGGGGGCTAGCTTTCACATAGCTTCATGAAGCCTGGCTAATTATTTGTGTTTTACGATGAGACAGACATGATGGAGGGGGGGGGGGGGGTTTGAGAAGGGTAATAAGGCTATGCATAAAGAGATATATGAATAAGCACAATTGTGATTGGTTGGTTTGTCGCGTGCCACGTATAGTACGAAGAATGGTACGATAAGTGCTGGAAGTGTGATGAAGCAGACTTGCTCTGAGAAGTCTCATTATCCGATCTGACTCCAGTTATTGAAACGAGGTAGGCCAAAGTGTATCTTACTTTAACGGTTAAAATGCTGTCATCAGTGTGACTCTCAGTTTTAATGAATAATGATGGTGATACCTTGAGCAAAAATGTTCATTAGCTTGGTTGTTGGATATACATAGGTTGGATATACCAGGTTGGCCGTAAGCTAACGGTATGAAAAAAATTGAGGCTTGTGTTTGAGAATTTCATGTATATGGTGATACCTTATCGTGAAACACCAGGAGAAGAGTCAACATTTTATTATCTATATAGCCAGTCATGGATGCCTGCCTATGCTAATTTTAACCCTGTACGTAAATAAAATGAGACAGGGTTCACTGTCCATACATGTTTATTTTCATTTATTCAATATGAATCGATATGAATCGATACAGTATTTATTGTTTGATTTGGTTTTAAACCAACATCCTTATTATGTTCCTTAAAGTGCAACTTGGTAGGTAAAACCAAACTGTAGACTATGCTGAAAATAAAGCTGACAATCTGACATACAACATTAGTCAAAAAGGTTGTCCCACCCCCGGGGCCCATTTCCATGTACTTTTATTTGCAAATGATCACCTCACAGCTGTAAATTGTTAGAAATAGTGCTTTTTATTACGGATACCGTGTCTAAAATGATTAATGGTTAAAAAATACAAAATAGTGGTGAAAATATACACATTTGATGCCATTTAGTAAAATGTATAAGAGGTACCCCCTCAAATCCACTGTTTCACTGTGAACTGTGACTTGTAAAGAAATGTCTATTAAATTGAAAAGACGCCATCAAATGTCTCCAAATCCACACACAATTAGCATTAGGGTGTCCTCGTTAAATATCACGTGCCTAACAGCGTGTGCGTCTACAGCGTACTGCAATTATCTCCTGTAGACGGTGCGACAAGCCTTCAACTCAGCTTTTTAATATAATTTTGGTTGCTTTTTATGAATCTGTAGCTTTGTGCTTTTTACTGCTTGCGTTTGGAGTATAACGTTGTTTTGTTGTTTAAATGAACCAAGATGTATTTCGAGGTAAGATACTTTTCTTTGCATCATTTATTTTTATTTATTTCTGGATATCAACAAAATATGCAGGCATCATATAAAATATCTACTTACAATTATCAACGTTTCGCTGTTGAACTCGTAGCTGACAAGCATTATAAGATTCACAAGAACCAAATTTCCAGCGGAAAAGTAGTGATAGTAATGCTTCAACATAATCTGTTCTTTTCTTACCAAAGCAGTTGCAAAATGCGTCCATCTGCAAAAACTCCGCTCTATTTGTAAGCCGCATTTTGCAACTGAACGCATTTTGGAGCCGGTTACAAAATGCGGCTTTACACCAGCTTTATGAATCCCCAGCATTTCTTTCTCCCCGACATCTACATGTAACTGGACAGTTGACCGTTTCAAATAATTCAGATTTCAGACTTTGCGACCTTAAACGTTTTCATTAAGTATATAGGCCAGGGGGGTCTATCTTTTTAAACGACCGAGACATTCTCGAAATATTATGCTTCATATCAATAGAAAAGCTTATTATGATAGCTTGTTATTGCAAGTCATAACATTTATGTCATAATTGCATAAGAAATACTTACTACTTTAGCACGAATAAAGGAATAGACGGTTTGTTAAACATATTAATGTACACCTAGTGTGGAGCAAAATTAAAACCTCTATGCCTAGTAGAGTTATCTACCTACAATGGAAAGACATACATGTACATCCTTGCTACTGTGTACTAGCCACATCTATAAACCTGTGCCGTCAATCAAATCACACATGGTCAGCTTTATGTCCTAGTTTAAAGGCAGGCAATGTGTTTATTGATAGACTTCGTTTGTCTTATACATGCAGTGCCTTAGACCATGATTCAACGTCCAAATATTGTCATTTTTAATCGTCCTGAAATCTGAAAAATCTCAAAACTAAATGGGTAAAACAAAAAACTTGCTTTATGCTTTTCGTCACAGGACCGGAGCTCTTGAAATAAAGTAAATTATTTATTGAGTAAATCTCACGGGTATCTACGAGAACATCTGAAAATAACAGCTTCATTCAACTCCAACGGGATATAATACGCACTATCATGTGAGAGAGTAATGTTACTCCGCCCCCCACCCCCCCCCCCCCCCCCCCACACACACCCCATTGCAAATACACGCGTCACTCTCGAAATCATGGTCTAGAATGAAACATCATATAGACTCTTCGCCTAATTTCCACATCCAAACAGAACTGAAACATGTTTGGATACAATGTCCCATGAAGTGGTAATATACAGACTTGACATTTAATATGGAATATTTCATTTTGAAAGGTATACCTTGGTAAAAATGCGTTCTTTTTTCAAAAAACTAAGATCTCCTATAAGATATCGGACTGGAGAAGTGTCTAGTCAGGTGTGTCGTTACCAATTAACTGACTACTATGTCTGTTGCACTGCTACATTGTGTGACATGCAGTAATTTAATTGGGTAGTGCTCCTTTGGGCTGGTCAAAGCTTGGGTTTGGCGAACCATGGTTCTACTAAAAAATTATTCATATGTCGGCAACTGCTGCATCTAAGAATTTGCAATTTTGCATGCAAGCGGTCGGTTTTGCAGTGGGTAAAATGAGTTAAGCAGCGTTATACAAAATTGTTGATCTGTGCCAGAATGGAGCGAAAAAGACAGTTTAGAATGAGGGGCAAATTGTCAGCAAAACGCGTTTTTCAAGGCATTTAACGGACACCATACTGGTTTCAGTAGGTTAGGATACAAGACGACCTCTGAGTAAGCCACTGTAAACAGCAAAACAGCGTTGTCTGTTTCTCTAATGAATTGGTGGCCATGACCGTTTCTGGGTAGAACACTGAAACTGCGTGGATTTCTTTATTGAGGTCAGATTTCACCCGTACTGCCCAATTGGTCAAAACAGAGTATATAAACATCCTGAAGAGGCCTTCGACGAAGCGTGTGCTGCTTCTAAAGTAACTAGGGTCATTGACAGCACCAGTATTTGGAGTAGATACCACATTGGTGCCAAAGCACCAATGGTAGTCATCGACGAAAACCTGAACCAGATTAAATAAAGGAATAATCTGGGGACCAATGTGGTATCATTTGATACTGGGCACCTTAGGAACAGTTTTAGGTTGCACGGTGAGATTGCCGGTTCACACAGAGCACTTTTAATAGCAGATAACTTACAGAACCAAGGGAATTAGCAGATACCTTGGTCATCAAAATCGCCATTTTTGAACCACATAGACAATATATGGGTGGGTCATTACTCGTCAAATCAACGGCCTACATGTCCTACAACAAAAACTGAACCAAATTGAAGAAGTTTTGACTGTTGCCTGAAATTTAATTCCAGATTAAACTCTAAAAACCTATCCCAAGGAATTGCTTGCCGCTTGAAAGCTCTGGTAGCGGCCAGATGAGGTCAGGCATAACAACAAATGTTGCTGTGACTAGACACTGATATGAGGGTCCTTTGTGGGGCGTGTAACTCTTTTAAAGACAATAGTTTGGAAAATATGGAGATCTAAAATATCGTTTTCAATGGTTGTCGTATGACTTAGAATAGGCAATGTATTTTTGTTTGCTTCACTGGCGGAGTCAATTGATGAACTGATGTCAAAATGACAATAAAGAGATTATTAAAAGTTATTAAAGCACGACTGTAATCCTTATTTTCATTTATCAGTCACCAAAACAAGAAAAAAACTGATGATTTATCATTTGGAAAAATATTCCATATTAAATGTCAAGTCTGTACTATGAAGTCTTCTAAGGGTCCGTATTTTTTAACCAATGAAGTCGCCTTCTATCATGAAGTAGTAATTCTTATCCTATGAAGTGGTAATATACTATGAAGTATCTTAACATGCGTTTTTAAAAGCTCTCCCCCCCCCCCCCCCTCATCATTTGCAAAACAATGATTTTAAAATAGTGTTGTATTTGCAGCTGGAATGTGTTACGTCTATATTGAGGGAAAATATATATTGGTATTTTAAGTTTGTGACAGAAATGCTGAACACCATAATAAATAGTCATATAATTTACTACTATGCAGAGAAGATGCCTCATTTTCTTTCAAATGGGAAAGACTAAATACAAGTTTTATTTCACTGTGATTGTTTAAAATATATTCATATACAATTAAAAGAATCAAATAAAAATGTTAACTTATCTGGGGTGGGCACTGCTAAATCCACGCACATTATAGATAGTAGTTTATGAATAAGGGATTTTTTTTCCTGGACAGTGGTAGAAAGTCCACAAGAGATTGAAACTGAAGCTGAGACTGACAGGAGATATTTCTCAAATATTGGAACCTGAAAGATTAACACCCTTTGTCCCATTGTGAAAATTCATCATTTTAAAGTTTTTTAAATAACAAAAATATTTACCTGTGTGCTTTTGACTATAAATCAAGTTATTTAGCAGGACACAAGTACAAGATTTGTATTTTGATCCATTTTTAAAGCAGAAATAGGGAAATATGGAAAATTTGCTATTTGGTTGACGCCATCTTGGATTGTGAATTTTAAAATTTGCATATATTTTTTTATGTTTGAAAAAAGATTTTAAAAAAATAACTCAAAACATTCACTTATAATGTATGACAATATTAGGTGGCTTTGGCCAGTCTATGAAAAATGTATTTGAAAATGGCAAAATTTGGGCATTTTAGCTAAAATTTGAAATTTTGGAAATCTGTCATTTTAAGAGTTTTTTTTTTCTAATTTTTAGGACTGTTGAAAATATTAAGTAATATGCTTCTGACTAAATAAAGATATAATATTTACCAGGATACAAAAATGAAATGTGTGTTTTTATCCATGCTTGTTTAGTTTAAAGCAGAAATAGGGACATTTTGCCATTTGATTGCCGCCATCTTAGATAAATAATTTTAAAATTAGAATAATTTTTTGAAAAATGTGTTTGAAAAAAATTTTATTTTTGATTATAAAAGGACAGTACATGTCCTTCCTTATGTAATGTATGGTGATA